ATCTAGGGCAACCCCATATCTGGCAGAAGAATCTCTATTTAAGACCCTTAAAAAACGTATGCTCAAGATTTGTTTTCAATTTGACAGGATTCAAATGACACGCCTCCCATCATGCATATGAGGCATCAGCATAGGCACACAAAAGCAATCTGCATGATTTTCACGAGCTTAGAAGTGAAATAACAATGCATGTGGATGCAAGAGTCAGACACCAAACCCCATACTAAAAAAGCAAGAATCCCATTTCCCATTTTATTAGTTTATAGTTTATAAAAATACCAAATGATTTCATACCCTGAACCCACGAACCCAGGCTAGTTTGCAAAGCAGCTTACTAGCCACACAAAACCTAGTCATGATTAAACATGGAAGGACTGACGTAAAAGACAATCAAGGAGGAATGGCGTACAAGGGAACGAGCATCACCGGCACAGAGAGGGTAAGAACACGGTCAGAGGCATTGATTCAAAGCCAACTGCTGAGAACCTCGGAAGTCTTCAGATTCAGGTGCTAACTTCTAAGACCTCTCCATCCTGTTTTGTAACAGTTCACAACACTATCACAATAATCTAGTTACATTAACTTTTGGTCTAAGATGTGTTTCCTATAAAAGTATTTGGCCTTACTTTTTTAACCTCAACTTCGAGAACAAAAGCAACCTCAAACACTACGGGGGCCAAATGTTCAAAGTACCAAAATGTACAGGTGACTAAACCAGCTGAGACCTCCGACGCCTTCCTAATCCAGCAAGGGTAAGGTCCTCACCACCACACACACTGCACCAACAGCCTCAAGAAACCTTCTGAGATATCCCCTCCTCCTCTGCACTCTGTTCATCGCTCTGCTCTGCTCTGTGAAAGCTCACCAATGCTGCTTCTCTGCCAAGCTTGTCTAGGCTGACACCATGGTGTGGATTCTCAGCTTAGCTTTCCAATCGGGCAATGATCTTCGACTCTGCCTTCCAGATCGTTCTTGGCTTCATGCTACTGGTCATTCATACCTATCCCAGTGTCTACCCAGGCTTCTGGAACCTCTGCCTGAATCCTACATCCTAGTTCCCTAGTTGTCTAGGCAAAAAACCTCAAATAAAATGCTTATGCTTTATTCTGTAAAGGAGTTCAGACTTTGATTAATAATCTAATATTCCTTTTGGGTGAACAGGAGCTAGGGCAGGGTCACCTGCACTGCACAATGCCAGGAAGTACAATTCCTACTGTACACTATAAAATGTATGTTTCAGGGCTGTCATTCACACCACAGACTATAAATGGTGCCCTTAAATTTTTTTTTTTTTTTGAGACAGAGTGCCGTGGGGTGCCCTTAAATTTTTTGCCATGGCAAGCTTTCAAGTGAAGCCACTCTTAACTGAATCCCAAGTCATCATGAAATTTTAAAAGTATTTCAAAATGAATATTATATGATTCCTAGTATCATAAAGTGAAACAAGACCAGAGAATCTCCCTCCTGATTATCTATCTAAAAATCAAAAAAAAAAAAAAATTTTTAAATGCAGCAAAAGAAAATCATGAGCAGAAACTTTAGGAAAGGAACAAGTTCAAGACAGAATGTTTTATTTAGCAAAGAAAAACACAGAAGATTTAGCAAAATATGGCATGAGTCCTAATCCTGTTCCCAATAGCAAAAAACATACTGGTGAGTAGACAAAACCCTGAAAATTCTTAATAATGCTCCACTGTTTGAAAAGAAGGGAATGAGGCCTAAGGGAGACAGCAAGAATCAAGCATACAATGAACTGTCTGCTTTCCACACACACTTTATGCTACAGTGGGAGATCAAAATAAATTCAGAGGGCATTCTTTCCATCAAAATACGCTACATGCCCCTCCCACATGAAAAGAAAGGAAAGGGAATCTTTCTTTTTTTTAAAAAAAAAAAATTACTTGCAACTAAAATTCCAGCCACTGGAAACTTAATTTTTTTTTTGTGACAGAGCCTCAGGCTGTCACCCTGGGTAGAGTGCTGTAGCATCACAGCTCACAGCAACCTCCAACTCCTGGGCTTAAGTGATTCTCCTACCTCCACCTCCCAAGTAGCTAGGACTATAGGTGCCTGCCATAAGGCCCAACTATTTTTTGGTTGCAGCTATCCTTGTTCTTTGGCAGGCCCAGGCTGGATTCGAACCCGCCCAGCTCAGGTATACGTGGCTAGCACCTTAGCCACGTGAGCCACGGACACCGAGCCAGAAACTTAAATTTTTTAAGTAAAAAAATCACTTAAAATAGAGAACGGAGGAATGAAGCTGGTAAAACTGTGAGTGGAGTGGCAAACTGAATCTAAATTTCAGAAGCAAGACTTTTTAAAAGGTGGGAATTCTGCTTACAAAACAGAACAAATATTATAGATCTTAAAAAATATATATTCTAGATCTTAATATAAAAACACAAAACTAACAAAAATCAGAAGGGCAAGAAGACTTGAGACAGAAATAAATGTATGACGTTAATTTTCTCATCTTTCATAGCTAGAAGTCAATACTTTCCAAAATAAAAATAATGAATTTCTTAATGCTTTTCATAACCACTTTAACACTTCAGACAATATTTCCTAAAGAGCCCTCTAACGGTAAAGAAACATTTATCAAAAGTCCCATAATCCCTTTAGTTTTATGTCAGTTTCTTTTTCTTCTATTAAATTCCAATAAGATCAAATATAATATTTCACATGGCAAAGCATCACACACAAAATGGCATATTCTTTAGCCCATTCCTCTCCCTGTACAGACCCGGACAGGTGGCGGAGCCTAATGGGATAGTCGTCTATCCGTTTGTTTCTGAGTGATAGGATGAGGTGATTTATTACAATTTTTTCTTTATACTTTGCTGCAATGTTTAGATTATTTATAATACACATGCAGCACTTTTACTTTTTAAAAAAAGACAAATGGAGAAGATCTATTGAAGTTTTCACACGTGCTGGCACAACTCTTCCATGTCACCTACAGAGTCCTCATAAAATTCCTTCAGGCTGATGCTAATGAAAATATGGCACCAGAAATCCTATTGTTAGAACATTTGCCAGCATTTTAAAACAGTGAGCAAAGCATTCATAGCAGAAGTCTTTTCTTAACTATGATGTGGTCATTGTGACCTGTAAAAAGTCACCAACGCTGTCTTCATTATCACTACCACAAAGTATTTCTGCTTACATAATGCTATAAGAGGGTTTCAATGCAACAGTTTGTCAAGGCAACAAAATGTCATTTTATGAATAATCTAATCTTCCATTCTACCTTTAATAAGGAACTACTCCTAAATCCCTAAAAATGGAAGAAGTATGCTCAAAGAAAAAGGAAAAGATATAACTTATCTAAATGAAACACACACTCAGGAAGTTCTACGTATGAATTACACCATATTAAAATAAGACACATACCAACAGAGGTGCTTTCATTGTCTTAATGAACAGGTGAATGTTCAGGGTGCTCAGTGGTTGTTCCATTAGGGTTCTTTGACATTGCTGGGTCAAGTCCAAGACGAGTTTACAATGGAAAAAGTAGACATGTGCATATTCTATATCCTCAGAGCTGCAGATTAAAAATTAATGCACTCAGTGAAGTTCAACATGTAACCCTTCTACCATCCAAAAAGACCCTACAACAAATCTCGTGCTTCTCAAGTTTGCTTTTAGTAAAAGCCTAAAAGAGTGTAAGATCAAAATAAAATGGACTTGGACAAAAAAAATATAGGATATTAGAGAAAACTAACCTTCATATTTGAACAAACCAAATAAGCTGTACAAGCAATTTTTTTCCTGAACTCTTTCATACGGTGGCCTCTAAATTAGGCGGTAGGCAGGCTTGCATAATTTGTTTTTTAATAAAAGGCTGTCACCTTGTGGACGATGAGATTGCCTTCAAATAGAGTTGCTTTTCTAGAACTACACTAAATGAAGCTTAGCAACACAAAGCTTTGTGTTTAATTTAAATCCGAAGCTGTTTTAAATAAACTTCAGCCAAAACATGCCTTAAATAGAAACCATGTGACAGTTTGTAGGAGTTTGTGAGTTTGTATATGAAATATTACAAAACTCGGCTAGTGTGGCTTGTAATTCAAGCTGTGGCATTCCCTTCAATTGAGAATACAAAGATAAACCTTACAGTGGGGATAGGTTTGCCAAAATTAAAATAGCATTTTAAGAATCTCCATATGGCATTAGTGAGTTTGGCAAAAAACTACAAAATTTTATTTTTAAAATGTTATTTTAATTCTTGAGATGTGCTTAAACTAAGTGTCCAAGGTTCACTGATTTCAAATTTAATTACAAAGTAATTTCTTTTTTTCTTTCTTTTTTTTTTTTTTTTTTGAGACAGATCCTCAAGCTGTCACCCTAGGTGGAGTGCTGTGGCGTCACAGCTCACAGCAACCTCCAAGTCCTGGGCTTAAGCAATTCTCTTGCCTCAGCCTCCCAAGTAGCTGGGACTACAGGTGCCCACCACAATGCCCGGCTATTTTTTGGTTGCAACCATCATTGTTGTTAGGCAGGCCCAGGCTGGATTCGAACCTGCCAGCTCAGGTGTATGTGGCTAGCGCCTCAGCTGCTTGAGCCACAAGCGCTGAGCCATACAAAGTAATTTCTAATAGATTCTAATGATTAAAAAATAATCCACTCAAAGATTTACTTACTGCCCACGATGTGTTAGGCTCTGTGCTAACACAAGAGATAAAGATGAATCAAACAATTTAAATACTGAAAGAAATATACTTAAATATGTTTCTCCTTAAAGGAGATCTGAAATTTAGTGTGTAAATGCTATAATATACAAAACATTATGAGGATCAAAGGTAAGTCATTCTGCCTCAGGTTGAGGAAAGAAAAGAAAAGACCATCAGAGCTTGAAAATCAAGGGAAGAATGACTTCCCCAAGAAGACAGGACAGAGGGCATTTCAAGTACAGTGAGAATACAAGACTTACAACTGGAATCCCGCACAGTCACTGCTGCTGACAGGACAGTGTCGAGGGCAGGAGAGCTTCGATCAGGTTGGACCTCCCACCAGAACCTCCCAAATGACAAAGGAATGTTGGAAAGGTACTCAGGGTTCATTTGCTTGCAGGTAACAGAAACCAAATATGGGGAAACTTATTGGCAGTTTGGCAAGGTATCTCACAGATTACAAGGAAAACTCAAATAAATGGATCAGAGAAAGGGCAGAGAGTAAACGTAGAGACCTGGAGAGGGAGGGTGAGGCCCCTTCATTCTACCTTTAACACTTTTCAGCTCCCAGCTCACCCTGTGAAGACAGACACCTCTCTGCTTTTCGAGACAGCTACCATGATGTACAACCCAGTTTCTTCATGTCCAGTTGTAAATTCCTGGGAGAGAGGCTCTTACTCGCTCAGCTAAGTCCATGGCCTGGCTGGCCCTAGGTCAGCCGCCCACCTCTGACTGGCTGTGGTATGTATGGGGCAGGGGTCACAGCCTTCCTGACCTAAACACAGACCTTTTTTGAGAGAATATGGGCAGGTAACAAAGCACTAGTAACATTAAGGCACACTATTTCTTTTATTTGCCACCTGTCACAAGTACCCTTCTTAACTGACGTAGGATTTCAAACACACTCAGGTGCAGTAAGATGGCAATAATACAAGGTCTGACAATTAAGTTTGTGAACTCATCCTAGAGAAAGTGTTACACGCCTCACTGCTGAATGTCACTACAGTCACTTTGAAGTCCTCCTCTCGGGAAGCTGTAACCAATGCCAGTGCCTAGTCCACCCTTTGAAGCAGTTTTGGAACTCTTTCCGGAATGGCCATTAGGGCTTTCATGATATTACACTCTGTGTCCTAAATATCATCAAAATGTCTTTTCAATATTTCTTTATCTTCAGGTAAAGAAAAAAGCCATCAGGGGCCAGATCAGATGAACAAGGACGGTGCTGCAACACAGCTCTTTGTTCACTGGCTGAAAACTCCCTCCCAGGCAGTGTTCACTGGTGAGCTCCTTCAGAACCATCTTTGCACACTCCTCTCTCATGCCAAGATTTTTGATTAAGGTTTTCTTGATGATGTTTACTTGGTCTGGTATGCTTCTCATCATCAGTACACAATTTTGACTCCAAATGGATGATTTTTTGCAATGTTTTCATCAGTTCTGCTTGTTACCGGCTGCCCTGACCTCTCTTCATCAGTGATGCTTTCTCTTCTCTCAGAAAAACATTTAATCCATTTGCACATTGCCATTTTCTTTATGGCATTATCTCCATAATCTGGGACTCATGTGTCCCTGATTTCACTTCCTCTCTTGCCAAGTTTATAAGAAATTTAATGTTTGTTCACTGCTCTGATTCGAGCTCTGACATTCTCCTGACAGAACATAAAAACATGCAATGAAGACCCCTCAGCAAGACACCACCACGTCAACAGGAACACAG